ATGACAAATATTACCATTGTTTTTATTAGAACAGAATGACCCAAATTTAGTGAATCAGAGGCCTTGGAATAAGTGCACACTTTTATATTCCACAACCAAGTTATCACCAATATTGCAATCTGATATTAGTTTCCTATCATGTTTCTACCTTTACTTTTCCAAATTTCTCCTTAGATTGTTATTACATAGAAGCCCAACTAGATAATGAAATACTACTCTTGCCCTCATGAGGCCTTTTATACCTTTCACCTTCATCCGCAGTGACACAGAAGCTACTGGATAGTTGCTGGGGGGACGGTCAGGCAGCCCTCTGCATGAATACAAGTCTGACAAGTGTGAGGCCTTTTGTGTTCCAAACTGGGAAGGATGTGGGGCCTGTGACTGCTCCATTTTGCCACTTGCATTTAATTGCCGGTGGGGAAAACGGAATGTGAAGTCAGGATTCTTCCCCATGTCGCCCGGTTTGGAATTGCTCACTACTTGCAGATCCCCCTTTATTAAGTTCAGGAAGGGGATTAGTTTACTCAAACAGTCTCCCGGTGGCTAGCACTCTGGGAGGCCAAGGCGGGAGGATCCTCTGAGCTCAGGAGTTCCAGACCAGCCTGAGCAAGAGTGAGACCCCATCTGTATTAAAAATAGAGAAAATTAGCTGGGCATCATGGCATGAGCCTATAGTCCCAGCTACTCGGGAGGCTGAGGCAGGAGGATCTCTTGAGCCCAGGAGTTTGAGGTTGCGGTGAGCTATGATGACACCACTGCACTCTAGCCCAGGTGATACAGCAAGACCTGTCTCAAAAAAATAAAAAAATAAAAATAATAATAAACAGTCTCCTAACTGGCCTCCCTATTTTTCCTCTTGTCCCACTTGGTCTATTCTCAACCAGCAACCAAAGTGACCCCTTCAATATGTGGGTCAGATTCTACTCCACCATCAAAGCCCTCCATGGCTCCCCTACCGAACGCAGAGGAAAAGCTGAGGCCTTTCCAACGGCCTGCAAGGCCCTGCATGCTCTGGCCCCAGGTCTCATCTCCCACGCCTCTGCCTTCCACTAGCTCTGTCCCAGTCACAGTGGCCTCATTGTTACTCTCCGAAAACACCAGCCCCAGAATGCCCCTCCTTGAGTTATCGACAACAGGGCTTACCCTGACCACTATCCTTATCACAAAGTATCAAAGAGTGGGTGGCTTATAAACAACAGAAACTTATGTCTCACAGTTCTAGAGGCTGGAAGCCTGAGATCAGGGTGCCAGCATGGTCAGGTTCTGATTAAGGACCTCATCTGGGTTGCAGACCACTGACTTCTTGGAAGGAGCATGAGAGAGCTCACTGGGTTCTTTTTATAAGGACACTAATCCCATTCATAAGGGCTCCATCCTCATGACCTAATTACAGCCCCAAGACCCCACCTCCTAATACCATCACACTGAGAGTTAGGATTTCACCGTATAAATTTGGGGTGGACACAAATGTTCAGTACTTACATTCCCCATTAACATTTTCCTGCTCTACCAGGCACTTACCAGCTTCCAGTACTCTATAATTTTCTTATTTATTGTATTTATTGTTTGCAATCTGCAACAAGGATGTAAGCTGCATGAAAGTAGGGACTTTCATCAGTTTTGTTCACTGATATACTCTGAGTGCTTAGAAGAGTACCTTGTGCCTAGCCAGTGCTTGATGTATGTTGTTTGTTGGATGGATGAATGAAATGAATGAATGGGCAATAAACAGACACATGCACATCCAGGATCCCAGCAATGACAGCTATCTCCGTAAGATGAGCAATAGGCCAGGGTGAGAACGGGCAGAAGGTGACTCATTTCCAGAGTGCAAAATCTCCCATTAACGCTGTGCAGACACAAACAGCCTTGCTGTTTTCTCTAAGTGCTGACCCAAAAATGGACTGAAGATTTTGCTCATTTACAAACAAACCTTCCAGGACCTTTCACAGAACTTCAGACCAAGCTAAACTTTCACATTTTAGGATGCCTGCCTTCTGGTCCTGCATCATCCACTAATGAGCTTTGAGGCCCTGGGAAAGCCAATTAACTTCTCTACAAAATATATGACAACTGATTTTCCTTCCAGACCAAAAAAAAAAAAATCTCAAGATTAGGAAAAAGGTGAAAATGAGTCAAGCCCTGCTTAATCACACTTCTCCTAACTTCAACCGATGATTTGTAAATAAACACCCACATATTAATGGTTCAACCTAACAAGAAAACCAACTATCCTATTTGGCCCATCTCACAAAAGGAATGGAATTAATAGTTAGGTGTGACTCATCTAGAAACAGCTGTACTACTTCAGGTGAGAAGCTGGAAGGTGGTCCTAAAGCTACATTAATGCTTTATTTTAATTTGGAACCATAGCCCTGACCAAAGGGAAAATCTTTCTATAGACAACTTTAAAATTGCTGTCATTCCCGGGCTATTGTGAATAATGCTGCAATGAACACGGGAGTGCAGACATCTCTTTGAGATACTGATTTCATTTTCTTTGGATATATACCCAGAAGTGGAATTGCTGGATCATAAGGTAGTTCTATTTCTCATTTCTTGAGAAACCTCCATTGTATTTTCCATGTGGCTGTACCAGTTTACATTCCCACCAACAGTATACGAGGGTCACCTTTTCTCTATGCCCTCACCAACATACAATTTTTATTTGTTAATTATACCTCGATAAAACTGCGGGGGGAAAGCCATGATAGTGGTTTCCCTTACGGTGGTGGTGACTGCTTTTACATTTTTAACCTTTACATTTACATTACTATACCTTTAGAGGCCACAGTTAAAATTTTACTTTAATTTTTCAGAAATCACATAAAATAAGGCCAGGCACAGTGGCTCACACGTAATCCTAGCACTCTGGGAGGCCGAGGCGGGCAGATTGTTTGAGCTCAGGAGTTCGAGACCAGCCTGAGCAAGAGCGAGACCCCATTTCTACTAAAAATAGAAAGAAATTAATCGGACAACTAAAACTATATAGAAAAAATTAGCCGGGCATGGTGGTGCACGTCTGTAGTTCCAGCTATTCGGGAGGCTGAGACAGGAGGATCGCTTAAGCCCAGGAGTTTGAGGTTGTTGTGAGCTAGGCTGACACCACAGCACTCCAGCCTGGGCAAAAGAGTGAGACTCTGTTTCAAAAAAAAAAAAAGAAATCACATAAAATATGTAAAATCAAAGCGATCATCCACAATGGGTTTATTTACTCCCAAAGTACATTTATTTTATTTATTTATTTATTTTTGTTTTTTATTTATTTATTTTTTTTGAGACAGAGTCTTGCTCTGTTGCCTGGGCTAGAATGCCGTGGCATCAGCCTAGCTCACAACAACATCAGACTCCTGGGTTCAAGCGATCCTTCTGCCTCAGCCTCCCAAGTAGCTGGGACTACAGGCGTGTGCCACCATGTCCGGCTAATTTATATATATATATATTTTTTTTTAGTTGTCCAGATCATTTCTTTCTATTTTTTAGTAGAGACAGGGTCTCGCTCTTCCTCAGGCTGGTCTCGAACTCCTGACCTTGAGCGATCCACCCGCCTCGGCCTCCCAGAGTGCTAGGATTACAGGTGTGGGCCACTGCGCCCGGCCTCAAAGTACATTTATTTTAAATTTGGAGGTGAGACAGATCGGAAAAATATTCCTAGCAGCTCTTCATTTTCAAAGATTGAGTATTCATTATCAGATGACATGAAAATCTTACTAGTTTTCTGGGCTAACATTATTATATCCTTTTTGGTCACCAACTGCATTCACTGTACATGTTCTGTCTTCTCCACTGGATTGTAAATGTCTTATGCATTACAAGAGGAACTTCTGCCCAAGCATGAGTTCTTTGACATAGTCATCACTAGATCCACACAGTTTAGCACAGTATTTGGCATACAGTAGGCACTTGATAATTCAGTGAACTTTGTGTATGTCTGGAAAACGAGTGAGACAATTAAGTGGTTAAAAAGGTATTTTTAGAGCCATTAACCCAAAAGCAACATGTGGGATGAACAGAAGGGGTGGCAGGGGCATGGGGGTAAGGGAAGAGAGGGAGGGGGAGAAAGAGAGAGGGAGAGAAGTAGATCAAGTAGGAGGCTATTGCAAAATCTAGGCTTCCACTGAACTGAATGGGTCTATACTAGGGAGGTGATTATAAAATTAGCAAGGAAAGATCAAACCAAAATGGCATTATAATCCTGCAGAAGGACTAACTGAATATAAGTTCCAATGACAGAAATCAGGAAGGTGAGAAGAAGGCAATCTGGGCTGGGCAGAGCAGTAACAGGGGTAGTGGTTTTGGTATCAAACACACTGAAATTATTGGTGGGACAGCTAATCAGAGCTGTCTTATAGATTGTCAAAGATACAGAACTTGGGCACATAGCTAAGCGTATTAGTGGAAGAAAGGAAAACAAACTTTGCAGAGTACCCACTTGGCATCAGACACTGTATTAGGTGTTAGAATTTATATTTCAGAGTCATTCATGCATGAGTGATAGACCAGGACAAAGAATCCCATAGAGGATGGTTAGATCTTAGCTCTACCACTGTCAGCTATATAGACCTTGAGACAGTTTACTTATCCTCTCTATAAACCTTTGTTTTGTCACCCAAGAAATGAGGATAATAATAATGCCTACCTCAGAGAATCAGAATAAGTGATATAATTCATGAAAAGTAAATAACATGGTACTTAAAATAAAAATGCAATAAAGCGTCGTCAATTAGTGAAAAAAACAACAAAACAGAGAATGGAATAATTGGTTTAGGGATGGTCCATATTGAGGAATAGAAGAAAGATTTAGAGATACCGGGAAGATGGAGAGGTATTTAAGAAAATGGGAGAGAACCTTGAAAACACAATATTATGGAAATCATGAGGGTTGAGGGTTTCAAAGAAGGTGTTACTCAAGGAAATTTAGTCATGAGGATAAGGAAATGAACCATTCGGCCCTGATTGTTCTTCATGTACGTAAAGCAAATTTAGACAACACTACGTACCCATAGTTGGTCATCCATGCCTGGAGGGTTCTTTTTGATAAAAGCACCATAGTATGTAGCAATATTCCGGTGATGAGAATATTTCTTCAACATGTTAATTTCTTGTTTGATTTCTTCCTCTTCATCCTGTATTAAAACAATAAATATTCTGTCACGGAAATTCATTGTCTTTTGTAAGACTCTGTTCTTCAACAGCATCTATATCAACTAAGTAGTAAGTTTTTTCTTCTATGGTGACAAACTACCGTGATTATTGTATCTGACAGCAAAGGAAAAGTTTATAAGACAACACACTGGCAGTCCAAGGGGGTCTTCTGTTTGTACAGCAAGCACACATAGCATGTAACTTGCTGGAAAACAAACAAACAAAAAACCAAAACAACCCCTCATCTCTTCACCTGGAAGAGTCAATGTAGACAGGCTATTGAGATTAAATTCACCTCAGGCCTCCGGGAACTATATCCATTGAATACCTATCACTGATCATATCCGGTATAGGAAAGATTGGGGAAAGTGAAAAGAAAAAAACATCGGCTCTCAGATTTCAATTTTGTTAAGTTCATTTTCTTTGAAGCCTACTTGTATTGAAGTGCATGACTGAAGATGATGAAAGTCAGATGGGAAAGGGAGCAAGGGTAAGTTCTCTAGATTTGAGGAAGTTCACAAAGCAGGAGTACCCACCTCACCTTCAGGAAACTAAACATGAAAAGGAAGGGGGAAATGTGCTCGTGCTGAGGATGTAAAAAGAGAGAACTCTGCTGCAGAGTGAGTTTCCTGACATTCAGGTTTCGTTCATTCTGAGTTTTGATTTGGAGTCCACCAATCTGGACCTTTTTCAGAGGTCCTGGCAGTACTGGTGGAGAGTATGTGTTCTCCCATAATTTTATTTTATTGATGTGTACACAATGGTTGGACTGAAAAATAGTATTTTATTTTATTTTTGAAGTTGGTGGAACAAGTTCCTACCCAAGGATAATTGATTTAGAAGCAGCAGTGAGCAATGGCTCTCCCTGAGTGTAAGATATTATGTAACGATGATCTAGAGGACCACCCACGGAGTGTCCCCTCCAGCTGCGCAGCCTCCGTCCAGTGTCTCTGCATTCCTGGGCCGTTCTGCAGCCTCCCATGTGCTGTCTTCTTCCCCCTCCTCTTCTTCACATAATTTTTACTCATCATTCCCGATTGAGTTTGACCCTTCCCAGCGAAGTCTCCCTCAATTCTCTCAGGCAGTGTCAAGGTCCCCCACTGTATCTTGCTTAGCCCCCTACACTTGCCATATTTGTTGACACTGGTATGAAGGTATGTGCCATAATTGCCCCATTATGTGACTCTCTTTCCACAGATTATAAGCTCTCCTCTGCCTTCAGATCTCAGTTCCAGAGTTCCTTCCCCAGCAAAGCTCCCTGAGCTGCCTGACTTGGTTCCCTGGATCACCATGCATCTCTACCTTTGTAGCACCTATCAGAATTGCCAGCCACACATATCACGGCATTAAGTCTCTCTTCCTTATTAGCCCTTAACGACCATAAGCACTGGAATCCTGCTTGCTTTTGCTCTCTGTATCCCTAGCACCAAGCAAAGTACCTATGAATAAACATAAATAAAAGAATGAATATCTACAAAGGGCCTAATGCCTAGCACGGCACTGGTGATGTAAGAAGGAACAGGTAAGAATAGGGTATGGAGAGTAGTGAAATAGCTGACATTTGCTGACCACACATATTTACTAAAATAAGTTTTAGTAAAGAAAAGCACAGGAGATTTTCAAACCTAGGAGAAGTAAAGCATGTTACACATCACACGGCTTAACTCAGTTGAATACTAGGTAATCTTAAAATAGAATGTACAATTGCTATGCTGAGCTCAGGAGAAGCACGCGTGCCAAACAGCAAGGAAGAGAGTCGAGGGGCGTGGGGCTGGCAAGGCGGCTGAGGCAGGGCTGGCACACTGCTGACCACCCCACTCTTCCCTGCAGCCATGGGAAACTGCCCACGCCTTCACTGCGCAGGCCTGTGAGGCAGTGACCTTCACAGACCTTCAACTTGTTGAAGGGCCCCTGCAGCACACCTCACGTGCTTACTATGGTGCATATTAGCTATTTTAAACTCGCCTGTAGGGTCAAATGATTGTGGGTGCATGTAGGATGTGAGCGGATGTACTCTGGGGAAGCCTAAATAGAAGGGGAGAAAACCAACCGGAGGGTTTCTGTGGGCAGCACAGCATTGACAGCTGCTTTGATTAAAAAGGGAACTACGTGAGGCAATAAAAGACACAGATCACTTTCCAGCTACAGCCTGTGAGTCTCAGCTTCAGTCATTCCTAGTGAGAAGTCAGGCTACTTCGACTAGTATTTGCTGCCTGCCTCCTGGAAGTTGGGTGATGTGGGATTGGGGGTGGGGCGCTAAAAACGCTTACCACATGATCAAGAAAATAAGAACTTATGAAACAGTTAAAAAAATAGTACTGGAGGTTAGAATAAAGTCACCACATTCTCCAACACTTTTCAAAGGTAAAATGATGCAATATGACAGTAAGAAAAGCTATGCATTGTATCTAGCATCGGAAAGACGAGGGTGGGCAGGCGGGGTGCACATTGAGTTTGGGCAGCACTCCTCTCTGGCTGTGGGATGTCAAGAAAGTAACCTACCTTTTTGGAACCCAAGTTTCTTACCTATAATGAGATACAGATATTATAAATTCCGGTAATGTGTGATACTTAAATGAGGTATGTGGGTTGTAAAGTGTAATACAAAATAAACATTATTATTAATCTTCTTAACCAAAAAAGTAAGTAAATCACAAAAGCAGGATGGCAAAAATGTAAGTCATTTGAATTTTAGGTTTATATTGCACTGCTTCCAAACATAATTATGGCACCACGGTGGGTCATGGTTATATATCTCCAATATACATCCTTGATCTTGGTACCATAGGACCTTTTAAGTGAACATGAAATTTATCAGGCCTTCAGGGCTACTGTTTATGTGGATTTTTAGTCTAGGGCACTGAGGACAGTAAGTTATTTGGTAAAATAGAAAGGGAAGCCCTTACTAGTGACAAGAGCTCATTTAGCCATGCCACAAACAGTCCAGCCTCTCACTATATGGCCCAGTGAGGGAGATGAATGATGATGCTTTCCCAAAAGACAAAAAACAACTGAGGCTAGAATTAGACTAAAAAGTTAAAGAGAAGAACGTCCTCTATTTAGTATATGTATTTATTATTCCTATATCTTAAGTATTATGCACAGGAATCAAGCTCAATAAAAAACTAATGACCACTGGGTTGTAGTGAAAAATAAAGTAGTGGTACTTAATTGTTACAAATTTAAAAAGAGTAACTTTAATAAGCCAAGTCCAGTACTCTCGGAAGAACAGTTACTTAATCAGAAGACTTCAAAATCTAGTCTGATTCATTATGTTAAGTTCAAGCATGACACTTAAACTCTCTAAATGTCTGTCATTTTCAGCTATAACGGGGAATAAGAATGCCTGTTTAAGCCACTTCTTAGGGCTTACAAATGATTAAGTGCTTATTTAAATATAGTTTTAGTATTCACATAAAGAAAATGATTATTTTTTCCTCAGGATCATGGGAATCTATTTGTTGCTTAGTATTTGTAGTAGACTGGGAAAAAAAAGTGGCCATGATATTTGGCCTACCTGGATCAAAGAGGAGCCCATTTCCCTCTCCTTGAACCTGGGCTTGGCCACATGACTTGTTTCGGCCAATGGTACATTAGCAAACAGGAAGGCGCAGAGGCCTGAAAAGTACTTGTGGCCTGAGACTGGCCCTCTCCTATTGCTCACAGAGAACCCTTCTACCACCACACGGGAAGCCAGGCTTGGCCTTCTGGGAGATGAGAAACCATGAGAAAAGACAGCAGTTTTCAAATTCAAGGGAATGGATGATTCCAGGCAATGCCTTTAAGCCACTGACCACCTCCAACGGCAATATGATTGTCACCATCAGTCATAAAATATAGCCAAAGCCAACCTTATATAATGTTTCCTGTGTACCAGGAGCTGTGTGTGCAGTCTTATTTAGTATTCAAGACAGCTCTACGGAGTTTTTCATGATCCCATTTTACAAATGAGGAAAATGAGTCTCAGAGAGATTAAGAAGCTTATTCAAATTCACTCATATTTTAAATGTTACAGCTCAGATTCAAGCCCAGATTTGTCTGACTCCAAATCCAGTATTCTTATTCCATACATAAAACTCCTAGACAGATGAAGGGCAATTACCCACGGTGACTAAAACCAAAGCTGCTAATTGAAAGACTTTAAGAGCATCTTGAACCAGGGCTAAAGAGAACCCTGACTTTGGTCCTCCAATTAAAAGAGCTTGTTAGCATATAATAATATTTGCTTATGATTGAATTCAAGGGATAAAGAAGAGATTTTAAGCTGCATATTTATTACACAGGTGAATACACTTTAAGTACCTACAATATACTAGGACTTAAAAATGGAATTAATAAAACATTTAAATTAGTGTGCTCTGTAACAAAGAGTTTGCCCAACATTTAACTCTCAATCCATGAAACAGGAATAGAACTATGTAATTCCTAAAACAATCCAAGGGGCTGGTCAGGATGATGTGTACAGAAGGATAAGGTGTACAGAATCATAAATGCCACTACCCCACAGATGTGTGGACACTGGCTAGAATCACCTCTGCTCCCTGCTCACCTGCTCTGCTTTCATAGCAACAGTTGCCATTAAGCAGGTGTTCATGTTAATTTATCTGTCACTCTCACCTTCAGTGTTGACTGAATGGGACACAAAGTTGAAGACAATTTATTGTTAAAGGATCACAGACTATTGGAATTTGAAGGGATCATCACTACCATCTATAATGTGGTTTGAAGAATTTTTAAGAATAATCTGTAGTACTGAAATCCCTTCCTGCAATAAAAATTTTATTCAGAATGCCAATATATAGCAGACAAAAACTAAAGTTTTAAAATCAGTAAGCATTTATTTTTGTAAGTTTAACTATGTAATATCTACTTATACAGTTAATCAATGAAAATAAAGAGGATGTTTTAGTGAACATAGAATTTACGAAAGAAATTAAAAGTCACATATCAGCTTCAATATCTTATAAATTTTCAGTTTTGT